ACTTATTATTGTCTGAAAAATGTTTTTATTTGGGGCACTTTGGGATATGGTATGAAGACTATGCATGTATAGTCGTTGTTGGTAATTCCATGTATAGGATCAATATCGACTGGTAATTTTTTATGGACATAAGGAGACCCTTGGGTAGGCTCTAAGACCCCGAGAACTTTCTTGGGTAGGCTCTCAGGCCCCAAGGTGCTCCCTTAGGTTATGTAGTTTTGTGGAACTGCATATGGTGTTTAGTTTGAGGGCGATTCTGAAATTTTAAACTAAAAACTCTACTAATATTTTAATTACTTTGACCTAAACTGATTTTAAAAAACATAATTGTACGTTTTATTTCTGCACTGTTGGAAAACTGAGCCTCTAGCTCACCTTTCAAACTATTTTACCTCTTTCAGATACACTTGGGTAGGCACTCCGTACCAAACACTTGGAGGTTCGACACATTTAGTGCAAATCATTTTGTTGTAATGTTTCTATCTTCCGATATACTTTCAATAACGGTGACATGTGTCTTTATTTTGAAGTACTTATCTTTTTGTGATGTTTAATGCTTTTACTAATGATATTCGATTTATTGTGTTTACAAGTTTTATTTTACTTAGTCGTTTTTAGTTTTATATTTACGAGTTGAGTTTTGATCGCTATTTATTATATTATTATAAATGTCATTTTTAATATGATTTTTAATTTTCGAATAACGTTTTGGAAAATATTTTTAATAATTTTTAATGTAATCAGTTAGACTTAGTCGAAACGTAAAGACCGGGTCTAGGGGTTACACGTATAAATATAACACCGCTCACCATACATATGATGACACCAAATCTTTGAAGAAAACACGACCGTTGCCAACTCTAAACCATGCGACGGGTAATTCCTCTCGTGAGCCTTTAACTGCCTCGAGGCATAGGCCACAACTTTACTTTTTGCATAAGAACACATCTCAAACCGTTATGAGATGCATTACTAACCCACATAGTCTTTACCCGACTCAGGTTATACAAACACTGGTGCCTCTGTTAAAATCTTCTTTAGCGTTTCAAAATTCTCTTCGCACTTCTTCATCCAAATAAAAGGAAAATATTTTCTTTTAAATCTTGGTTAGTGGTGAAGCTAACATTGAAAAGTTCTTTATGAACCTTCGATAATAACCATCAAGTCCCAATAAACTTTGAACCTCATAAATATTCTTTTGGGGTTTGTAATCCACTATAGCTTGAATCTTCTTGGGATCTACTCTTATGCCTTCTTCCGAGACAACATGGCAAAGGAAAGCAACCTCTATCAACCAGAATTCACATTTCGACAACTTGGCGTTCTACTTTTTCTCTCAAAGAGTCACCAAAATTTGATTAAAATAAAGATGGAACACTCGTTTAATCAAATGTTTAAATTCTGTAAGAACATTAGTCAAACCGATTGGCATCGCCACAACTCGTAGTCTCCATACCGCATCAAAAAACTGTCTTAAGAATATCCTCCTCTTTAATCTTCAATTTAGGGTATCTAGGCTGAAAATCAATCTTAGAGAACATTATTATACTTTCCAATTGATCGTAAAATCATCAATCTTAATAAGTGGATACACATTCTTATAGTCACTTTATTCAACTATGGATGATCTATGCATAACTGCATAAATTCATCTGTATTTTTGCCAAAAGCACATGTACTCCCCAAGGTGAAACACTCTGTTTGATGAAACCTTTATCAAACAACTCTTTTAACTGAGCCTTTAGTTCTCTTAACTCAGTCGAAGCCATTCGATACGAAACCATAAAAAACATGGTCAATACCCTGATAACCATCAATCTTGAATTATACCTCTCGATCTGGAAGTAACCATGTAATTCATCTGAAAAGATATCTAGAAATTCTCGAACTATAGGAATATCATATAGTCTTACTTTAGATACGTGAGTATCTATCATATTAGCTAGAAAAGTTGTACATTCTTCTGACATCATTTTCTTCAGAATCATTGCCGATATCGCATTGGGTGTTATTTTGTGTTTTCATCAATCACTATAATTTACAAATCCTCTGCATCTTTATAAAATAATTGCTTCTTGTGCCAATCAAATCATCCATAATGCGTAGACAACAAACCCATGCCTATGATATTAAACTCGCCAAATGATAATTCCATCAGATTCATAGGAACATAGCCTTTAATCTTTATCGGACATTTACTACATGTCTGACTCACACTTGCACCATGACCCATAGGGTTTACCGCTATCATATCACATGAAATCAACTAGAATAGAATACCTCTATTTTAAAATTCCTTATTTCATTCTTGAAGTAATTTTAATAAATTTTGGATTCATTGAAAATATTCTCGAGCAGTTGAAACATTTTCCATCTCAACTATGAAAGTCTAAATGTCCACATCATTTAATAAGAAGACTTAAAAACTTTGTAGCAATAACTTCATAGAAGTTAATGCTAAAATAACACTAGTATACAAATTTACTCTTTTTCCTACCACTAATAACTAGAAACTTTTCAAGTTCTTGAAAATCAACCACAATCTAAGTGATAATTCATTGTAGCATGGAAGGGTTTAAACAATTCATTCCACAATTTTACTTTCGCAAGGTAACTCTATCATGTCTATAAAACTTAACATATACTCTCATTCAAACTCATTTTAAAACCTTTAAAATGATAACATAATTATCATGTAATTCACTAATAACTCAGCTTTCTTTAAACTTTTAGCGGACAACTAACTTACCGCTTACTTATTTCCTTTAACTCAAATCAACATTTCTTCAAGCAACTTAATGCTTAACTTTAGTATTCCTCAATTATTTAAGCTTACCTGTAGAAACCTAAGAGTCATCAATGGATTCAATAATATCCTATGGATCCTCATCCGATTAAACTTATATTGTAATTCATTTAAATTTTTTAATGGATTCCTCTAATGCAATAACTTCATTAAAAACTACGGCATTTATTCCACATAATGGAGGAAAATCCCTTACAACTCCAACTCTTCTAAGGCGTGATACTAAAGTCATGTCGGATCTATTTGGGTCGATTTCAATCTCGACCTTCCTTTCAACATTATTAACTTTCTTACATGTATCCTTAGTTTCCGACATCTAACACGACACACATAATAACAACTTAAGTTAGTAAGGAGTGACATAAATCATATCACAATGACATCATATCAGTAACTTTGACATCCTAGTGGCATGTATACACTTTTTACATAAAATACACTCATTTTCGACTGAGAATCGGCTAAACCTGTAGTTCTGATAACAGTAAATGTAACACACATTTATGGAATAAAATTATTTTTTAGAAAATTACCACTTAGGTCCCTAAACTTTTCATAAGTTTATACTTTGGCCACTTAACTTTCAAAATTTACATTTTGGTCACTAACCAAAATTTGGGGTATTACATTTAGGGTGTCAAAGAGATGGCTCTAGCTTAAGGCATGTTTTAGGGGTTTTTTTGGACTTAAGAATAACAAAATTTGAGTTTCAGCTCTAAAGTTTTGAAACCGTAAAGTGGATATCAAAACTACACAAAATATTAAATACCTCTAAATATTATGGTCCAAAAGTTTTAGAACTCTTAAAAATGTTTCATAACTCTCCCCTAAATTTTTATTTTTTGCGATTAATTCTAGAAATCTCAACTTCATCAAATGTTGTTCGACTTAGTTTGTATTATTAAATTTCATAATTTTGAAAGAACATATTTTAAACATAGGTTTATGAAATAAAAATTAGTATATTACACGTCAGTTTACTTTGCTCCAAAATAGAACACGAAAATCGTAACATAGATAGAAATTCTTACCAATATCACCAAACCAACAACAACACCTAAAGAATCAATTTTCAATGATCAAACCTAATTAGAATCAATCGAAATTGATGTTTGGATCAACTCTAAAGCACCATTAACATCTAATCAAAGGTGGCTCTGAATTTCTGGAAAATAAGCCAAATTGATTCAATTCAATTAGCAATTTAGATCTTTCTAACCTTAATTGCAAATCTGATTTTATAATCGTCTAAGCTCTCAAAAATCACCAAGAATCATTGGAAATTATCAAATATTGTCAAAGAAAGAGAAGCCAAAGAAGAACTTTGAAAATCAATGGAACTTTATAGGTCTATTTGCAAAGCAACTCATGAACTTTAAAATGAATCACATTATCATTAAAGCATTAACAAGAAGAGCACGTCAAGATCAAGGGATGAAAATTACTTGCTGGAAATCTAAAAATAAAAGCTTGATAAAAAAATTGATATCTTGAAGGAAAAAAAAAGCTTGAAAAACAAGGAAGACTGGCAATGGAAATTTTGGCTAAATGAGGGAAGGATCGAAGAAGAATCAATGGAAGAATTGATATAAAATGGAAGCAATAATTGAAGAATTAGAGAATTTTCAGTTAGATGCATCGAAAATGGAGAGAAGATTTGTTGAATCAAGATGTGTTTGGATGCAAAAATGAATTTGATGAAGTAAGGCAGTTAAAACAATATATAAAGATCAATTAAAATTGGAACTAAAATCAAAGGAATTTGCAAGAGGAGTTCAAGGGGAAAATAGTTGAAAGTGGAGAGATATTGATCTTGGGAAAATTTTAGTTACAAATTTGCGAACTTCACAATATCGTAATGGTCGTTTTTATTTGGTCACATTCGAAATATATATCAACTAAATAGTTTTCTAAACATAAGAGACCAGAATGTCCCTTGGAATAATAGAGAGACTAAAATATTTGTTTGATGCAGTAAAAAATCTTGTAATAGAGAATGGCAGTGACAGAGATTTATTATCTCCAATGAAACCACAACTTTATGCCATAATTGAGTTTAAAAGCAAAGATGAAATTGTGATTAGTTTCCAGAAGCAGCTTAGAAATGAGATGCTAATATCCCGCATGGTTAATGTCTGAAGGGACACTGGGAGAAGGTGCTTATAAAAGAAACGGGCTTGAACGAAGAAGAGCAAACCTTTCACGGCCTTTTGGCTAAGATCAAGTGTAGTATCTGTTCTTATCAGTAGTTTAATATCTGATACATGGGCCAATGGCTCACACGATATTAAATTTTTTTTTTGATGGGGAGGGTTCACCACAGCAGCTTGCTACTGTGACTCTCGACCGTCTCCCTAGCGTTGAACTATTGCTTGGGCCTGACGCACCCCACCCAATCCCAAGTTTAACGTTTCTATTATGTTTTTGGACTATCAATGAAATCCTTCTCTTCTCGCAAACCATGCTATCTAGATTACAAAGATAATTCAATTGTTGAATTTATAATATATATGGTGTGATTGTAGGTATTAAATGCTAATAGTGAAACTTAGTTAAGGAATTAAATTTTATTTTAATGGCCATAATCAACTGGCTTGCAACAGATTTTTGGATTGGACTCGGGCATTTTTTGGATGAGATGTCTTCTTAGTATGAATTGTCTTTCAGTTAATTTTCCAACACATTGAAACATCTCTACTAGACATTGAGAACTCAAAATAGGTTTGTTTTAGCACTGACAATCTATGTGAAAAGCCAGATACGTGTCCAAATAAGATTTTTTATGTATTATGAATTTTCAATTATTTTATTGATTATTTGATATTAAGTTTAGCATAAGAATTTACATTATTTATTTTTGATAATTTAAGAATGTATTTATAATTTTTTTGTTTATTAAGAGATTTAAATAAATTTGGACTTTAATAATTATTATTCAGTCAATTAGATTGAGTTGCAGATAATATTAAGCAAATATGCTCTATCTCTAGCTCAAATTTATAATTTTCTCTCTACTATAGATACGCTCCCTACTTTTTTATTTGAACTCAAATTATTTATTATAAAAATATTGATTACTCTTTGAGTAAGTTTTGCAATATTTATTCTCTTGTGTCTTTTATAAGTGTTTTCGACTTAAACATTCTTGAAGATTACTAGTGATTCATCATCAACCTTTGGCTTGTAAAGAAGGATATTCATCAGGTATATTAAAATTGTTTGAAAGAGCTTGAAAATTCAGATTGATTCAACAAAGAAAAACAACTACATTCAATTCTTTGTTCACGCCAACTTCAACAATAGATTCGTTCGAAAATGGTAGTTAAATCATATTGATTCAAAGGATTATTAGGGTGAACTGTTGCGCATCATCTTTTGTTCAAGCCAACTTCAGTGCACATGTTAAAATCATGCTACCACTCGCGAAAGAGTCCAAAGCCATTGGAATGATTGCAACTTGATTGGATCAGTCCTGTTTAGTTGCTAGAATCGTATCATTGTAGTAGGCGAATTAATCTTCAAGATGGTAACATCTTAATGTAAACTAAATTGATTAAATTTTGTTATATATCCACTCGTATGACATTTAAATGAATGCTTTAACTCTTGTTTGTGATGTTCTTGTTGGGGACTTAATAATGTCGAGTGTATTTCGGTGTTAAATGTTGTCTATGTTTGTTTTAACTTCCGATTTGATATGTTTGAGATATTATGGAACCTTGAATTCCTAGTTAGAGAGCGATCGAATTGACTTTAAATGGTTGACCAATGTGGCTAAAACATCGATGTTATACTTTACTACCTTATGCATGTTTTACGGTGCATGTTAGTACTTGGTTGATGCATCAATGTAGTGATTTGGTCATGTAAATCCTAGTTGTTATTTCTAAACTCGTACTGAATATAGTAGAAGGATAATGATCGGCTAAGACTCGATTGAATTGTTCAAGAAAACTAGATGATCAATAAGAAATAAATTCAAGTTTAGTAGTTAATTGACAAAGTAATTTGCCTTAGAATCCTTAAATTTTAAATATTGCTATCAAAAGTTTTAATGTCGAAAATGCTTGGATAGGAAAATTACAAAAATTCTCTTATGAAGTAAAAAGGGGTTTGAATTGGCCCGAACTGTGGAATTGATCTGAGAATTCGTTATTGACTTGATAGAACTACAAATCCTCTAATTGAACTCTTGATTTATCTAGAAGTCCTGATAATCATTTCCTAACCCTTGAGATCACACCATACTCGAATATTCTTATTTCTGAATAAATATCTGAAGATTAACCTATCGGAAGTACTCTATAAATATGAATTGAATGAAACAAATGAAATATCCTCAAGAGCCATAATAACTAAAATAACCCTGAAAAGTCATATTTGGTCTAATAGAACTACCATTTCACTTGTTAAATAGTCGATATATTTAGAAAAACCCTAATAATCAATTTTTACCTCCGAGTGGGAATAACATAGTTTGAATTTCTAATTTCTAAGAAAACACCCGGAGAGTAAATTACCGAAAGTACCTTTTCGTTTGAATTCTTTGAAAAACAATTAATCAATTAAAATGAATGAAATGCCTTTGAGTATTGAAATGACCTAAATACCCTCGTGACTTAGAAAAAAGTGGATGCCATTGGATAAATTCAGGAAACACTAACGAACCTAAGTATTGTATTGCCCCTTAAAGTTTAGAGCACGACCCAAGCATGTTACTCTTTTTTATACAAAGAAGCAATGCAGAAACAAATTAAATACATGTAATACCCAAAAAGTTTGGTTAGTGACCAAAATATAAATTTTGAAAGTTAAGTGGCCAAAGTATTAACTTTGGAAAAGTTTAGGGACTAAAGTATAATTGTAAAAAGTTATGTAATCCGGACCCATAAATGAATAATTTACCCCCAAGAATGACGTTTATGTGGAAATCAGATTTTTCATACGGATTTTGTACTAAAAGCTATAAAGTTCGAGAAAAAATTAGTCAATTAGATCAAATAAAAATTTTGGGAAAATTTGAAGAATGATAAATTAAGCTTAGAAATATTATTTCCAAATTTAAAATGATGGAAAATTAATATGGAGTATTGGATTTGAGAATTTATTTCCATGTTCAATTTGGACTGTTGGATGAAAAATGGCAAGATTGAAATTTTTGGAAAATGGGATGGACAAAGTTGTAAAGGGAAAAATATTTTGTCTATCTTTGACTTTGGAATATGATAAGATTTATGTGGCTTGGTATTACTGTAAATATCAAATTTCATTAATGGTAAAATGGACATTTCTCATTAAATGAATTTTTTTATTCATTTAAGCCTAATATATGGTAAATTAACATGAAATTCATTAAAAATTTCATGAAAACTTAGTCATTTTCAGCCAACATTTCGTGCTCCCCATAAACAATGTAAGAGAATTTTTATTTTTCATTTTGAACAATTTTCTTTGGATTTTGGATCATGTCTTGAAATAAAAAATTCTTATATTAAAAAAAACGCTATCATTTGGTACCATTATTGTTTGCTAATTTGTTTGTGTACAAAGATCCTAAATTCTAGTGTTTATTTTCACATTAGGGTTTATGGAATTGATAAAGTATTTTTATGTTATCGAGGTTGTAGAATCATTTCCATGCTTGTTTGGTGATTAAAACATGTTAAATCCTCCCAAAAATGCTTCCTTAAGTTTTGATTAAACCCTAAAGTAAGGGGAACTTTGTGTTTTGATGAAACTTGATTAGGTCTTCGATTATAGAGATTTTATTTGAATTGATGTTGATTTCATGCTTGAATCGAATTGAAATCAAATAAAATCATGAAAATCTAGTCTTGACTATATAAACCATTCGACCTTGGTCTTAAAAGATGAGGAATTTTTTTCAAAAACAATAAAAGGTCTGTAAATGATATAGGAAATATTCTACAAGCCTTAGAAAATTTGGAGACCATTATGTAATTTTACAAAAGTTGGGGACCTAATTGGTAATTTTAGAAAAGTGTTGGATTGTTGTGTAGTTGTTCAATATTTGATTTACTATGCTAGAAATTAATGTTTGAGTGTTGGAATTGAAGCTAGGATGTGAAATTGGATTATTTTGGAAACCTTGTAAACGTTGAGGTTAAAATCACAAATATGGAAAGGTTGGGAGCTTACGTGAAAATGTTATGTGAAGTTGGAATAAAAAGGAACTTTAGTGGTCAATTAGAAGTATTAAGGTCAACATTTATGTTGTGACATGGAAATTGTATCGAATAAACATCAAAAAATTTGTATATGTTTGGTAATGATGTTCATTTAGATTGAGTGCTTGAAATCAAGATCAAATATTATTAAAGGTAAGGAGAAGCTTAAGGATGAAATCGAAAATTCTAAGGAAGGTTGCAAGCTGAGGACACCAGGTGAGTGCAAATTTAATTTGTACTTATGTTATCGAACAAACATTAGCTTGCGATGAGCCAGTGACGGAGTTACTATGGTAAAGAGTGACTCTTAAAATGTTATGTGATTTGTGATGCATGCATATATGCGCATTTGGTGAACTAATAGAATTAGTGAACAAGTTGAAAATGTAAATTGGTGAAACCTGCTTAGAATTTATGTTATGGACAATATGTTTAGAAAATAACCATAAATTCTAAAACAATGATTAGAGGATGATTTTTATACCCTTGGATTAGTATACAATTCTAGTTTTATTAAGAACAAAAGGAATTGATTTCAAGGTGTATACAAAAAAATATGAAATTTTAACTGAGAATAGGTCAGAAAATGGGGCAACAGATTCTACTCAAAACAGATTATGTCGGTCAACTTTGAAAATTCAACATAAATTGTATAAATTGAACTAGAATAAGTGCCTTATCTGGATAGATTTTTATTTGAGTCTAGTTTACGTTAGTATAAATGGAATAATTTTTGAGTGTGTAGATTAATACATAATAATATTTCTTTAAAGATAGTACAAACTACCAGAATATGAAATTATGACAAATTTTTGGATTCAACCGAATTAGAAGCAAATGATAAGTGTTTATATTGACATGATATTTATGTCATATATCATATATTTGACATATTCTAAATATGTCAAAGGTTGATTATAAAATGAATTGATCACTGATCGTTACATATGATGTTTATCATGAATGATATTTCGGGTATAAACTTCCCAATGTTAAATTATGATAATATACTTTGCCATGGATAAAAATAGACTATATGCCCAAGTAGGTCATTGAGGGACAGGCCTATAGTTGGCTTGCTATAGGGTATAGCAGGTCTAGGGTTTCTTTAATCATACACTGGCACTTCCCATCATGGTGGTATATTACTTTAATCATAATATGAGGATTATGATTACTGCATTACAACTGCCACTCACTTATT